GCTATAATCAAATTTTCAAACTGAAGTTGGAGGCAGAAGATGAGCTCCGATCGAGTCAAAACTTTTCAAATTTTTATTTTTAAACAAATTCGCATCGCTTCCACCTACGGGCGTTGTAAAATTAAAAATTTTTTTGAATGCTCCACCCTAATATATATATATATATATATATATAAAGGAAAGATTACCTTAGATTAAAATCGCGTGTTGGTATTATTACCTATCATCGCCATGGAACGAACAGGAAAGAGAGCGACATCAACGCTATTCCTATGTCCACGGCGCTATTGGAAATGACGTATCAATATGACGTATAGAGACACATCTATTAATGGTCCAATTTCTGTACTATGAGTACATTCAAACATGTCCATTTTGGGATATTCAAAGTGTGTCCACAAATGGACATCTTATGGATGTTTTATAAAGTCCACGGATATTCCGACATGAAATGGACACGAAACGGATATCCATGGGATATCAGGTGCTGTCTGGGGAGACGACAGTCCAGGGGTTGGACCTCGGCCGATATTACACGAATCATTCCCTTTCCTTCAGGCAAGCAATATGCAACTTCGTCGAACCTGTCGCGGCACAAGCAGACGCACCGCAGCATCGACTCGCAATCGGCCAAGAAGTGCATCCACTGCGGCAAGGCGTACGTCAGCATGCCCGCCCTGGCGATGCACGTGCTCACGCACAAGCTTACGCACAGCTGCGGCGTGTGTGGCAAGATGTTCTCGCGGCCGTGGCTGCTGCAGGGCCACCTACGCAGCCACACCGGCGAGAAACCGTACGGATGCGCCCACTGCGGCAAGGCATTCGCCGATCGCTCGAATCTGCGGGCGCACATGCAAACGCACTCGGCGGACAAGAACTACGAGTGCCCGGGCTGCCACAAGTCGTTCGCTCTCAAGTCGTACTTGAACAAGCACCTGGAGTCGGCGTGCCAGCGCGAGAACGACGAAAGCAACGACGTTGACGCGCCGTCATAAGCGGCCAGGGCCAGGTAGGTATCTCGTTCGCGGCGACACGCGACACCCGCGTTATCGCTCTTCACTTCGAGGATCAGCGAGGATCGATTTACCTACCGTCTTCTTAAAGAACCGTTTCGTTGTACGTCGGACGATTGTTTTGCCCGATTACATCTGCGACACAGTCTAATATCGTGCAATGGCGCAAGGGGGTTAGACCTGCTGACACATCACCTGCGATCGATCACAACTATTCTCGCATTTAGACCTAAGCGCGCGCCCGAAATAAAGCGCGCCGTGCTAACCGATCAATCCGCAATTTGCAGCCAGTCGTGTACGAAGATTGCAGCGGCGTCATCACGTTGACTGGTGAAAAAAAAATAGTTTGCTGCGTATACAGTACTTTTGCTCATGGACCAAGAGGAGAAAAAGAGGACGAGCGAACGCACGGGAAGCAGCCGCTGACCTCTCATCGCCGCGTGGATGCGATTGGTTTCGATTGTTTTGCACGGAATTCGGGTCTATCGTTGCGCTCGATTACGGCAGCAAGTCCTCATGTTCCCTTTGTCTCCGCCGCGCGATACCTGAAAAAAGCTCGCGCTTGTCAGCTCCAAGTTGGATTTAACGTCAATACTCGCTTGCAATCATTGTTTCCTCAAATACCCGAAGTTTTCATCCAGTCTGGAGTGTCTCTCTTATTTTTATCCCGCTAATTTACTAAATGTCTTTTGCGCCTTTTTGAAAAATATTTTCTCCACGAAAGGACGGCCGCATTTTGAATCCACAAAACCTGCGCGAGCTCTGTTCTTCACTGATTCAGATCGGAGTGGATCGAAAAATGCGCAAAGCGACGAGAGAGGGGGGGAGGAAGAGCTTCCAATTACTCGATAAGATTTTGCTCGAAATTACAGAATGAGCTAATGACTTGCTGTCGTTGTTGAGAGGAGCCTCAGCTCTTTTGTGCATCATAGACGACGATCAGACGTCGAATCACCGATAACATCCAATTTCAACGGGTATCTCTCGCTAAGCGTAAAGTGATTCGATTTTACCCGCCGGCTTAAACGTCGCGGATGGGCGGACGGGCGAAAATCTCAGGCCGCGCGGGAACGAGGACGAGTAAGGTAATTGACATATCGGCGTCTCTAGATCTCGCGTTCGGTCTCTTCCTCTTTCGCTGGGAGAGGAGTTTCTCTGAATATCTCACCATTTCTTTCGGTCCCGAGTACACGTTCGGGCTATTCTTATGTCCATTTTTCCGATTTCTTTCGATGTCGAGGGGAGAGGAAATGAGCTTTGCGAATTGCAGCGGGTCTTTCACAGGCTTCTCTACAGGATGTTACGGGTAAGGAGTCCATCCGCTCGTACAGGTAGAGCGAGTTACACTGAAAAGAAAAGTTATATATCATTTTATAAAATTCCCAATAGTTATCGCGTAATTAATTAAAACCTCTGAGCGACTAAGCGCCAAGAAAGGGGTAGGCCAGACTCGGAAGATATTAAATTGGTTATTTGTTTAGTCTTGTAGCGGTGAGGGACGAGCAGTGAGCATCATCTGAAGCTCGCCGCTCGCTGCGTGCCAACTTTTTCCGGTACGTCGCTCCGCCTCCGCTATTGGACGCCCACCGTTGCTACGAGACTAAACAAATAAGGTATCTAACTTGCTTACCGAGTCCGGCCTACTGCTTCTCGTGCGTTCATTTGCGCAGATGTTTTTATTTATCACTCTAAAACTATTGCGAATTTTACAAAATGGTGCACAACTTTCCTTTTCAGTTTAACCCGCACTACTTGTATACGAGCGGATGAACACCTTATCCGTAACACCTTGTACCCCACACAGCGCACGTAGGTTCTAAGAAAGTTCTGAAAATATCATAAAAGTATATTGAGTATATTCTACGAATATTCGAAATACGTACTGCGATATACTAAGAATGCTACTAGGTCCGAGTTTTCCTGCTTCTATGTACATACTGAGAATATCCCGAGCATAAATTTTAGTAGGGTCCTGGTAGGCCTGACCGTAAATGCAACATCGAGAATTATAATTGCCTGATCAGGTTTCCCTTATCAAGACACGACTTGCCCCTTGTTACGCCTTACAATTTCTAATAGAGGGGTAGTAGGGCATCAATAAGGCTTCCTATTAAAAAAAATTAATTTTTAAACTAACTTTTAAATTGTGTTAAATTATATAGTCATCAAAAGTATATACAGGCCATTGAAGTTTATCCATGATCCAGACAACCCGCTATCTGGATTTTATCGGCTCGCCTCTTATACTAATACGGGATGATTTTTACTTACGAGAAAGGCTAACGCGCGGTCGCCACGTCACGGCAATGAGTGGTACTAGGACTATATATTCTGAAATTATACGAGAATATACGAAATATAATATACTATTAAAAATGTTATAGGGACGATCTCAGTATGTTATTAAATACAGTACGTTTATTCACAGTATGAGTATAAAATATTCAAATAATATCATGTGCTGTGTGGGATAGTATAACTAGTAGGTCCACTCCGTCATTTGTTTCATTTTGCGTCGATCCCTTCTGCATCCAACATTGATTTGGTCAAGCCAACAAGAGAAAAATTATACGTGTGGTAGTGTGGCTTTGACGAGTACGTATACACACATACTATACACACACGCATTGCTGGATCCTGCCCGAGTGCATGGTGGAATACCATGTGATCGGAACTACAAAGATCAAAGGGGCCGACAGAGAGTGGATCTACTATTTGTACTATGGTAGTATACAGAAGTCTGTGGGGTCTCCGGCGAGCGAGTGTCGTTGCCGATGGGTAATGAGGCTAGAAGAGCCAAACGGAGATAATACGTGATAGAAATAATGAAAATATACGTGTGCTAGATGAAGACTGGAATTTGATTATTTTCAGCAAAAAAAAATGTTAAGAGGTGATCGCAGCTGTGTTGGTGACGTTAAACTCGAGTACTTTTGTGCCGTGTATCGTATTGTCGACTCGACGACAGATCGGCGTGGTATTGCATTTACAAAATTTGAAATTTTGTTGGACAAAAATGCACTTGGCATTTTTTTTCGAAACTATTTTTTTTATCGTATCCACTATTGGGTGACTTTGCCAACGTCACGGTTTACTTCAACTAGAATCCAATTTGAGCGATTCTTTGTCTTTCTTCAACATTGAAACTAGAACGGAGACTCGATTAAGCCAAAGTTAAACTTGACGAAACGGGCCGTTAGTTTTTCGATCGCTGAGGAACGATAAAGTTTTTTCGATCAAGTTTCCTATAAAATGCACTTTAATTTCTCGGCAAAACTGTGCTTGATTTCTGCAGAGCATCATTCCCCGGCAGGGGAAAGTAGCATATGTGTTTCAAAACTCACGCGATCTCGCCCGCCGAGATCTTTTTAATGCCCAGAGAAACTTCTTTCCCGCTAGCGAGAAGATCTGTATTTCGATTCGCTAGTCGTCCTAGGTAAGTCTACCATGAAGATGCTTCGACATAAAGTGATATCAATGTTTCAAAATGTTTTTGGCGTCTTCTTGGCCGGAGATCGATACGATAATATCGTAGATGCATCTCGCTTCGTGAATTCGTAAAAATGACGAATCGAGATGCTCTCGGAACGAACAGTGATAAGGTCGATCGCAGACGAAGTTGTGCAATACCTTTCTCATAGCTTGTAAGAGCTCACTTTTTTCATTCCTCTTTGCTTGACGATCAAGATTCGCTCGTTGTTCTCTTCCGGGAAAGAAAGGCCTTTCGTAAAAAAAATATATATATGGTATATACATATACATATATATATATATTATCTCTTTTATCTCGAATTTTTAGTATTTAAGGGAACCCTAAAGCCGCTAGCGAACTCGATCGGTGTCGATAAGATAGGAGACGGAATTAAAAACGTTAATTATCGACACTTTTAATTCCAATTTCTACTCGGTCCGAGAAATTTATAGCTAATCAATTTGCAACTTTTACGAAAAAGCAGCAATTTTATTAGCTACACATTGCTCAGACCGAGATTTTGGATCGAATTCTAGCATTGTCAACACCATAGCTTTATAATAATCTTTTTTCTAGGCTATTAATCTTAGTTCTAATTGCGATATTTTTCTTATATGTTGTCCCTACAGTATGCTAATCTCATTTTGTATATATTTATTGTAGAATTCTTGTATTAAGCAAATATTGACGTCAGGTTTACCAAAAATTAGTAAAATTAAAAAAATTTTTGTTTTTGACATAAGATCGACCGGCATAGTCTAGATTTTGCTGCGTACTTCAATTCCGCAAAAGAGTTTTGCATTTTTATAAAGCTATTTAAAAGATTACTTCTAACAAAGAATGTCGATAAAACAGACGGCTTTAGGGTCCCCTTAAAATGTCGGAGTTGATAGATTACTTTCTAAATGAGTTCTCATTTCATCGTAACATTCGCATTGTTATCCAAGTTCCTACCGGCTGTGTACAATTTTAAGCTTTTTTTTATTCAACTTTATATTTAATTTTTTTGTTGTTATATATATATATACTATAATTTCATTCGCTAGAATCTCTCGAAGCACCGAAATTAGATTCTGGAATTAGAAGCTGATGCTATACATGACATATTGAATTATCACTCAATATTTTACGTTAATTTAAAGGTGTTTCGAACATAACTCTCGTACTGCAGAGCACGATCTCTCCCGCGCATTTAAATGCGCTCTCGCGCGATTTTCGCCTTTGGATCCTTAGCGTAACGCACGCGGATGCTCGCGGAAAGTTTTCATCAACATTTCACGTAAACTGGGCCACCTGTTGAATGCAGAAATGACCATTCGGTGGCAAAAGGGTCGGTCGTACTGCTCCCCTGAATTATGGAACACATCATTTCCTCGGTTGTTAAAAGCGTGAACATGATCGCGGCCAATTGCGACGTTTCATCGAAATTTATCAATGCTTTTTTTCTGGAGTTGCGAAAATCGCGCCGAAAGCAGAAACTGCAGAGAGTACCGCGATCTCTTTATCTGGAAAGAGGTGGTGGCACCGTTCACAAACGTTTCTAAAGATTATTTTTACGATATTTATTAAGCTATTTGTTATATCTCGTCTCGAATTTTTAGTACTTAAAATGTAAGACCTAAGAGATTACTTTTTACATAAGCTCTCACATTTTATCGCCATCTCCGTATTATTATCCAAGTTCCTACAGGCTGTACAATTTTAAGCTTTAATTTTTATTCAATTTTTTATTCTATCTTTTTGTTGATTTCTATGCAGATATGTACATATCATTTGTGAGGATAAAAGCTGAAAAAATGAATCGAAATTAATGGAAATTTATTTCTTTTGCTTCATAATTCGATTCGCTTATATCTCACGTCATACGACTTCAACTGTGAGAAGACACAAATGCTTTATCTTTCAAGGCAATATATTATAATAAAATGCTCTGCGTAACGGGTGCATATATATATACATAGACATACTAAAACTGGATATATTGAGGGAGATAATATCATTGCTTGGAAGGTATTTTCCCGTGAAAGCTTCGAGCAAGAAGAATGAAAAAAGTGGATCGCACGCGAGTGCATTTTATAGAACGATACAATCCACAACGTCATACCAAAGATATGACCGAAAAGAAGGAGCGGAAGAGAGGGCGGAATTAAAGAGAGAAGAAAAAGTACTTACGATCTAGTCAACAAGTTGCGCTTGAATTACATCCTTTTTATCTTAGTTGCCTAAGGCGCTCGCATGTATAAGCGAGGAGGAGAAGCGACGCTTATTCTTTCTCGTCGTATATTTTATCTTAGTTTCTCCCACCCCCCCCCCCTGTGCCGTCTGAAGCGTTTCTAATATAGCTTAGAGATATTTTGGTACAGGAAATTTTACGAGAGATTGTGTAAGATATAGTGGCGCGGATCGATTGTGTATTTGATTAATTGAACGTAATACGCGGTCCGACGTACGCTCTGTCGTCAATGCGTTTAACGGCCGGTTAAACGCGAGAGAGAAAGAAAGCTTTAGTGATTTTAGTTAGTACAAACGTATCAACACCAAGGGAGTTAGTGCATATATAGACAGCCAGATCGCTTTTTCGCGCCGCCGCCGTGAAATCGGCGACGAAAACGTAACGGGAAGAGAGATCGGCGTTTTTCCGGAAGTTCCCTACTCACGACTCGTTTTCTCTTCCTCTCGGGAACGCGGCAGGCAGATAAACGTCGAGACGCATTGAAATGTAAAAATAAGATATGAGAGGCACAGAGTAAAATGCAACACTACCAATGCAATAAAATAATAACTACGAGAAGCAACAAAATTAGAACGCCAGATGGGAGGGCACAAAATAACCGAGCTGAAAAAAAACGTAAATATTTTTCTGTTTTTGAATACTCGTATTGAAAATAGGGTGCACCGGTGTGCGCCATCGTTTATCGCGAATTGAATATATATCCACGCGAGATGAAGTGATCTTGCAACAAGTTAAAAGTATCCTGTGGACGGAATCGACCCGATTTTTGCCGAGATTCACTTGGCGTTAACGCTCGTATTTTGTTCTTATATTTCGCACCTCGACTGTGCAAAGTCGTCTCGCAAAAAAAAAAGTAGATTCTCATCCGTACGGAAATCACGAAACACACGTAGCTCTGCAATTCGGCCACTTTTTCGTAATATTTGAGATTAACTGTAGACACACTCGTCTCTTATACTGTATTACAATACTCGACAGTCAATCGAATCTATAATTACTAGTGTAACTTGTAACGGTAGTCAATAATAGGAAAGGAGGAGCGAGAAAGAGGATGTGCACATGGTCCACGGTCGCCCTAGTTGGGTTCCAAGCGAGTTCCGTCGGGGGTACTTGAATATCGCGGCGTAGTTTGCGGGGCAGTTTTATCGCGGACAAGAAGGGTGACAAAGAAGCGAAACGATGTTTCGTGGCACGATTTCGCGCATCTTGCGTACATAATAAAATACTTTTCCCATTTGAAACCATAGACGTATAATATATAGACTGCGCATTTTGGCTGCAGAAGTGTACAAACTTTAGAAAGAGACAACATTAGGACCTTATTCTCTCTCTCCGTCTATCAATGTTTAGAGTGGGGCAAAAAATCAATATGGCTACTGTGCTTATCTTTTAATCTCTATCATTCCCCTACTCTTCTGTTACCCCCACTACTTCTACTAGACAAAGATAAGGTACG